TGGATGTGTTGCAGGAGTCCTACTGTACGGACCGCCCGGAACCGGCAAAACACTGTTGGCTCGCGCGGTGGCCCATCACACGGACTGCACGTTCATCCGCGTCAGTGGCTCTGAATTGGTGCAGAAGTTCATCGGCGAGGGCTCGCGAATGGTTCGCGAGTTGTTTGTGATGGCCAGAGAACACGCGCCGTCCATCATCTTCATGGATGAGATCGATTCGATCGGCTCTTCGCGCATCGAATCCGGTTCTGGCGGCGACTCCGAAGTGCAGCGAACGATGTTAGAGCTGTTGAACCAATTGGACGGCTTCGAGGCGACGAAGAACATAAAGGTGATTATGGCCACCAATCGGATCGACATCCTCGACCCGGCGCTCCTAAGGCCGGGACGTATTGACCGCAAGATTGAGTTCCCGCCGCCCAATGAAGAGGCTCGACTCGATATCCTGAAGATTCACTCGAGGAAAATGAATTTGACTCGAGGTATAAATCTGCGCAAAATCGCCGAAATGATGCCCGGGGCCAGTGGGGCTGAGGTCAAGGGCGTCTGCACTGAGGCCGGCATGTATGCACTCCGCGAACGGCGCGTTCACGTCACTCAAGAGGACTTCGAGATGGCGGTGGCGAAGGTTATGCAGAAGGAGGCCGAGAAGAACATGTCCATCAAAAAGCTCTGGAAGTAATTGCCGTTTATTATCACTTTTTTCAACTTTTTGCCGTTTGTTTCGTATATTATTAGTTCAGTAATAAATGTCTATTGGTTTCCAAATTTCATGATTACTTATAAATAAAATTAACATTAATTGCCCATAATTTTAGTCTTAATATTTATTCTTATTTTGTTTATTTGTATGATAATTGTTATAAACAATTGCCGCAACTTTTTTCTATGAATGCTTTATTGTAGTAATAATTATTGTGTTAACGTTTGAAGTTTGAGGTAAAGTTACATGAAATCAGAGATGAATTGATGTTTTGATGCATAGAAATGACTCACATTTGCAGAAAATATTTAAATTAAATCGACTTTTAATGTAATTTTAAAATATAAATAAAATATAAGTTATAAATTATAGCAAAGTTACCATATACAGTAAATGGTTGTTAAGTGTGGGACTATTATGCGATACCCTATTGTCAGTTATTAAACACCCATTCAATACATTAGAATATCATTTAACTCTAACTTTTAAACCCGTTTACAGTATAGTATTGTTTAAACATTTTTCTGACACAATATTTATCTATTGTTATAGTTTTGTAAACTATTTTTAGCCATAACTCACTCAACATAAGGTTTGAGACACCTTTTGAAACACAATACTGTGTTATACTGTTTTAGAAGTTTGCTAAAAGTATTGACAAAAACTTGTTACTATAATACTGTACATATTAGTGATGCTAAAAATATGAACAAATTGATCAAGCATTTTATGATTGATATAAACATTT